TAATTACCTTCATCAGAGGTAGTTGGGGGGTATTTATAGCCCCTTGGTGCTGACATACATCTGCACGTGTGAGCACCCCATTGGCCCACGTGGCGTTGGTCACGTGGGTGTGCTTGTACTGATGCTCCTTCAGCTTGGGCTAATAGGTGGTAACCTAGGCCCGTTATGCACAGCCCTATTTGGGTGTTGGGCCTATGCACAGCCCTGTTTGGGCGTTGGGCCTATTCCAACATTACTCCCCCCCCCGGTGTTCGGTTGACGAACTGGGATGGATGTGGTGTTGGGCCGATTGGCGTTGGGCCTATTCCAAACGGCTTTAACAGTTTGCGGCCGACTTCGACGAGGGCCGAGCTGAAAGGTAAAACGAAAAGAGGCGAGCTCGCGAGCCTGAAAGCGTGTAGGCGAGCTGGTATCCATAGCCACATTAGTGCGGGCTTGTTATGGCAGCAAGCTGAAGCGATTCGCAACAGACGAGCTCGCACAGGGACCAGCCATGTATATAACGCCATTTCAGCTCGTCCATGTGGCGACCTGACCCCTGACTACTACCGAAGTGCGACCAGATGACGCACAGTTAGCTATGATCACGAGGTGAGGCGACGCGACCTCACATGCAACGTGACTTGAGGTTTTTGACCACCACTTTATCAGCTCGCACGAGTAGTGCTGTTAAATAGGGCGACCTCAGGTATCCATTGATCTATGAAAAGGTTTGTGGCCTAGTGTGAGTTGCAACTCGTGTAACGACCTGACAAGTGTGGTTGTCGTCACAATATGTGACGAGCTGAATCTTGGGGGATTTTAGTAAACGATCTACACTTGCGAACGAATTGTCACGGTTGAGTCGATCTGGCGAATATGTCATCTCTGTAACGACCTGGTAAGTGTGCTCGCAATGGCGAGCTGATGTGACAGTATAGGGTACACATCAGCAGTTACGATCTGAATCTTGGGATTTTTTTAGTCAAGCAAATCTCTGAGGAGATACGATTGAACTTCCCATATCTCTCTGCCTTCCCCGTCATAAATGCTGGCTCAGCGTTTGAGGGACGTGACAGCTAGAGCCGGCGCACGCTATGCAGAAGGGGCGTTAAGCGCCTGCCACGTGTGGGACGCTAGTTGGTGCGTCAGAAACACGCGTACGGCAATTAACACTACCATATCCTTCTCTGCGTAATCGTTTCCCTTTCCATTTTCATTTCCGTATTTGCTTGAACTTTCTAAAATTCTCTGAAGCAAAACGCTCCAGCTTGAAGAACAGTACGCCGAATCAACTTCGCATCATTCTCAGGTAAAATGGTTTCATTGAGAGAACTTACAGAGGTATGAGGTAACCAGGGCAGAGAGGGAGAAGAGGAAGGGGTTATATCCGTAGAGCCTATCACAATGATAGTGCCGCCGGCGTTGCAGGATGTGCCGAAAACAATGGCGTCTGAGAGCAGCACCAGTTCCGACGCCAGCGACAACGGTGGCGACCACCCTAGTGCGCCGTCAAGCAGCTCGTCCTCGGAGGGGACACCAGGTCGTGAGGAAGGGGCAGGGGATGTAGTGAGCCATGTCTCAGATCAGCCTGTAATGGGAGAATGGGAAAGCAGAACCATCACGGGCAGGTTGAGCAATCTGCGAAAGGCGCCCAAGGACCTGCCCATTGGATTTAGGTTCCGGGCCGCCCTACATCATGAGGTAGCGGATTGTGCGCCCTCAATAAGTGGATATAGGAGATTGGAGGAGATGGTGAGGGCGCACCACATCCCCAGAACAATCCTGCTCCAGACTGGAGCCAAGAGCGAGAGGGCGTGCATGTATCACAGACAGGCTGGATACCCGTGTACGTAGATCACTTTGAGGCCGGCCTACGATTCCCCTTGCCCGGCTTGGTATTCGACTTGCTAGCAGACTACGAGCTTGCTCTGACGCAGCTGACGCCCAACAGCATAAGGTTCATAATAGGCTTTATGCTGTTGTGTGCGAGGTTGGAGGTACCGGCCAAGGCGATCGTGTTCAGGTCGCTGTTTCAATGCCGGCTGTGTCCCAACTCTCGAGGCGCGAAGTGGTAATACCTTTTCGGGAGAGACAAGAGCTAGTTGTTCAAGAATGTCCGGAACAAAGTGGCGAGGTGGAAGAGGCAATTCATATTTGTTCGCGACACGCGAACAGAGAGGATAAGCAACGACCTTGCTGCCCGGCTGTCGGCGTGGCGTGTTCCCAATGCACACGTCAACTACCCTCAACTACTGCCACGGGACATAGACCTCAAAAATCAGCTGCTGGACTATGCGAGGAGGGAGAATCTGATAGATCTGGACGCCCTGGTTACCTCGGAGCAGCTCGCCGTGTTCGAGTTTGTCGACGTGGCAAACGTGTTCACAGAATGTATACTTTTATTAGATAGTACTAATTCTAGCCGGGCTGAGTCTTATGCGTTTTTTTGTGCAGGAGAAATGAGTAGCATCTTGGAACGCCAACGACAGCAAGCCCAAAGCTCACGAGGTCGCGCGTCGGGCAGCGCACAACCCAGGCAAACATGGTTTGACGAGCGGCCACCCCCAGCGCCTCAATCACGCGGCTCGTCACACCGGGGATCCAGCTCGGCATCAAGGCCACGAGCAGAGCACAGGGCTGAGGTTGCAACTCCGAGTGCACGTAGACGTGCACGCGAGGAGATAGAGAGCGAGGAAGATGAGGTCCCACTTGCTCGGCGCAGAACAAGCGGGGGGACCCAGCCCGCGCAGGTGGCCCGTCCTGCAACCGTTCGTTCACCGAACGCGCCGTCAGTGACTGTGCGGGCAACAGTAGAGCCCGCCTCTGCATCGACCTCGATGTCGGGCCCCAGGATTGCTTATCCTGAGGGCTTCAACTATGTGCGGGCGGAGTGCCAGCCCGCCATGGTGCAAGGCACGCACAGCTTTGTGCCCCCCGCGGATAGTAAGCGGGCAAAAGCTTTTGTGCACCAGCATGGCGGGCAGGTCGCCATGATCAAACTAATGGATGTAAGTATTTGCTCGTACTCAAGTGTTTTACTTTTCCTTGCTAGGTACTTACGACTGTTGCTATTTGGCAGGCATTCAGCTACGCTGTAGCGCTGTACGAGAGCGAGCAGGGGGCTCGTACAGAGAACAGCGAGCTCGGTTCAAAGTTCAAACAGCTGGCTGCGGAGAAGGCTAGCCTTGTGGACAATGTGAATCCTCTGCAAGGCTCCGAAATGGCGAACCGAGCTGCAGCTGTAGAGAGCTGGGCGGATGAGCTCGCTACTAGAAACAACGAGCTCAGGGAGGAGCTGGAGCGCGCCCGTGCTGAAAGGGAGAGCGGGATTCAGGCAGCTAAGGAGGAAGCCACCCAGGTTGAGGAACGGGCCAAAAAGGCTGAGACCGACAGGGACCACACTCAGCACGAGCTGAACTCCTTAAGGAATCAGGTCGCTGAAGCTGCCCGGAACTTGAACGCAGCTGAAGAGGCCTTGAATGAGCTGAAGGCCACTCACGGGCTCTCTATCTCCATGGCGCGTGCTCAGGGCGCAGAATGGCGATGGGTTCGGTCGCGTTTCAAGACGCAGTGGCGGTGGCGTCTACAAACATAACCACAGAGATCTACAACGAGATTCGTGGGAAGGTGCTGCACCACCGCCCAGATTTTCCAATCCGCGAGCTGGTGTTCTTTGACGAGGAGGAGCTTGATGAACAGGGTAAGAGCCTTGCTCCCCTCACTGACACAACTGTGAGGCTGAGATGGGACTTGAACGAGGAGGGTGTGTCCGTATGGCCGACGTCCTTGCTAGAGGACGGGGAGGATCTAGCAGGGCTGCCCTCGTTTGACGCGTGGGTCGAAGGTGTTCCTGTTGCTGAGCAGGAGCCGTCAAGCACGCCACCCAACTCTCAGCCCGCTATGGTGCTAGCCAGCTCGCCCATCAGCGCACCAGCCTCTGAGCCCGCAGCCCAAACTCCTCCAACGCGCTTTCCTGCAGCTGCTGCTGATGCATCCATGCCCGTTGATCTGACGGATGACTAGATTTAGGGTTTTTTTCTTTTGATCTTTTGTATTTCGCTTTTGCATTTTTGTATCTAATCAATGGATTCATTTCATATGTACCCTCAATGTAAACATCTTTGATGAAATACAAAATTGAGTTTTCCTTTGAATTTTTGTTGTATTTTCGGTATACCATTGTTTACAACTGTCGAATAACAACTTGAATAAAAGAATAGTATATAGGTTAACTGTAAAATTTTCTAAGATTCTGTATGTTCCAAATGTAAGGCAACTGATGTCCCTGTATATCTGCTAACACATAAGAGCCAGGTCGTTTAACTTGTACAACCATATAGGGGCCTTCCCAATTAGGAGCGAGCTTGCCCATGTGTGAATAAGTGTTAGTTAACCCAGCTTTACGTAGGACCAGATCGTCGACCTGAAACTGGCGAGCTCGAACCCTTTTATTGTAGAATTTTGCAACACGACTCTGATGTGCCATGTTGCTTATTCGGGACATCTCCCTGATTTCTTCCACAAGGTCTAGGTTCTCTCTTAAGAGTTGTTCATTGTTCTGATCGTCATGACGATCTAATCTATCGGATGGCAATCCGACCTCGACGGGGATGATGGCCTCAGCTCCGTATGCCAGGCTGAACGGGGTTTCGCCTGTAGCAGAGCTGGGTGTAGTACGACATGACCACAACACTTTATTGAGCTTTTCAACCCAATTAGTGTGTGTAGCCAAAACACGCGTCTTGAGTCCCCGCAAGACAATTTTATTGGCGAACTCGGCTTGCCCATTGGACTGTGGAGTGTACACAGATGTCAAGGCGAGCTCAATGCCATAATCGTTACAAAACGATCTCAATGCTGCTGCTCGGAACTGTGGCCCATTATCGGCAATAATCCGCTTAGGTATGCTAAACCTGCACACAGATGAGCGAGCTGAGCTACAAATCATGTTTATATATATTTTATTTATGACCTCAATCACCAAAGAATACGTGCACAATATTGAATTGAATAAGAATTCTTCTATCTTCCTTTCTGTTGTCGTGGATAGCGGTTTAGCTTCTATCCACTTAGTGAAGTAATCCACTGCAACGACCAGGAAATTGCAGCCTCCTTTGCCCTTGATGAAAGGGCCGAGCAGGTCGACGCCCCATTGAGCAAAGGGCCAGGGAAACGTGAGAGATGATAGCATCTCGCCTGTTTCAAGGAAGATACTTACGCTCAGTTTAGAGACAAGCAGGAAATTTGCACGATCTTTAGAACAAGCTCAGATACCTGGCATGTGTATATCATCAGCATTGAACTGGCAAGTCGGACATTTTTGACATAGTTCTGCGCGTCCTCGACCATAGTGGGCCAGTAATAACCATGCCTCAGGAGTTTCCGAGCTAAAGTTTTGCCACCAATGTGCATGCCACATACTCCTTCGTGAACTTCTCTCACAGCGTATTCAGCTTCATAGGAAGTAAGGCAGCGTAATAGGGGCATTGAGGTTGCTCGTTTGTAGAGCTGGTTATCTAACAAAGTGAAATGTGCTGCCCTTCGTTTAATCGACTTTGCAGTGGATGGGTCTTCAGGCAGCTCGCCACTTTGCAGATAATTCATGAGCGGGGTGGTCCAGCTCGGTGTAGAGGGATCCGTACTTAGCAATTGACACTCGACCGTGAAATCAGTGTAGCTCGGGGCGTCAAGCACTTCAACGATGGTTGACCTCTAAGGGTTAAAGTCCCGCAAGGAGGCCAACTTTGACAGCTCGTCAGCTCGGTGGTTGTCAGCTCTTGGTATTTTGTCGATCTGAAATGAAGCAAATCTTGACTTCAATCTGTTGACCACAGAGGTATAACGGCCAAGCTGGGGATCCTTAACTTCACAGCTGCCATTTACCTAGCCCACCACGAGTTGAGAATCACTGAAAACTCGTATGCTCTGCACCTTCAGCTCGGACGCCAGCTTCAAACCATAAATGAGGGCTTCATACTCGGCAGCATTATTAGTGGTTTGGAACTTAAATCGCAATGCATGCTCAGATTTAAAGCCATCTGGGCCTATCAACACAGCCCTAGCACCTGACCCTTCAATGTTGGCAGCTCCATCAACATACAGAACCCAGGCTGGGTAATCAGGTGCCTTGTCTCCCTCCGTCACCGAGATGCATTCTACCAGAAAGTCTGCAATGGCCTGGCCTTTTATGGTTGTGCGCGGTTGAAATTTGAGATCGTATTCACTCAGCTCGATGCTCCATCCAATAAGCCGACCAAAGAGTTCCGGTTTTTGCAGTATCTTCCTCAACCGCAAATCGGTATAGACAACGATCTGATGTGATTGGAAGTAGGCTTTCAACTTACGAGCTGTGTACACCAGGGCAAAAACAGCCTTCTCTGCTAATGGATAATTCTGTTCAGCGCCCTGTAAAACTTTGCTTACATAGCAGATAGGCTTTTGATTCTTATTCTCTTCCCTCAGTAGGACCGAACTCATTGCCTCTTCTGTGACCCCCAGATACAGATATAAACATTCCCCATCGACAGGCTTGGACAGCAGAGGTGTGGATGCCAAATACTGTTTGAGCTCGTCAAACGCCTGTTGACATTCATCAGTCCATTGAAAGTTTTAAGACTCCCGCAGAGCTTTGAAGAACGGAAGGCACCTTTCTGCCGATCTGGCTATAAACTTCTGCAACACAGCCACCCGACCTGTCAGACGCTGTACATCTTTTACTGTCTTGGGGGGTTCCATCTGCTGAACGGCCTGCACCTTCTCTTGTCTTGGGGGGTTCCATCTGCTGAACGGCCTGCACCTTCTCTGGATTTACTTCGATTCCTTTCTTGGATACCACGTACCCTAGGAATTTCCCTGATTCCACAGCAAACGTGCATTTCAAGGGATTCATCTTTATTTGGGCTCGACGCAAGTTTTGAAAAGTTTCATCCAGGTCGTCAATGTGATCCTCAGCTCGCACGCTGGTGACTATCATGTCATCTACATACACTTCTATGTTCCTGCCGATCTAGAGCTTAAAGATGATTTGCACCAGCTTCTAGTATGTTGCTCCAGCATTTTTGAGGCCGAACGGCATCATGACATAGCAGTATATTGCGTCACCAGTGTAAAAAGCTATTTTTTCCTGGTCGTCTAGCGACAGCTAGACTTGGTGGTAACCCGAGCTGGCATCTAGAAAACTCATCCATTCATGTCCTGCTACCCGTTCTACTAACTTCTCGACGTTTGGCAAGGGATGAGGGTCCTTTGGACACGCATCATTGAGATTGGTGAAATCAATACACATCCTCCACTTGCCATTTGGCTTTTTGACAAGCACAGGGTTGGACACCCATTCAGAGTACTCCACTCTTCTGATGAAGCCTGCCTATAACAACTTTTGTATCTCTTCGTCAATGGCACCTTGCTTATGGGGGCCAAAAAGGCGACGTTTTTGTACCACTGGCCTTTTGGTGGGGTCCGTGCTGAGCTTGTGGACGGTCAACTCCATCGGAATGCCGGGCATTTCGTCCGTAGTCCACGCAAACATGTCCTGATTATTCCTCAGA